CAACGAATTTAATAGTTGGAACTAAAAATTCAACGCAACGTAACCTTTGAACCTTTTTTGAATTTCTATAACGCGTGTTGGAGTGTCGAGGAGTGTCGAAGTGTCCGAGACTGTCGGGAAGTGTCGAACACGACACGTCAGAATTTTTGAAGTGTCGGTGCTTCATAGATGGGAACCTTCGTAAAATTTGTGAAAGTTATAAAAATGCTCTTCTTAATTTTGACTATTACAATATGACTTTTCATTGAAATGTCTTGGTGGTAGATCTAACTTTAAATCTGAATAAAAAAAACTAAATAGTACTCTTTAAAAAACCCACACCTAAAATATAAAAAAAAACAGAGTTAGCATCATCCAATCCATTTATATATACTTTGTTGACCAATTTGTTGTTCAAAATGTCCACAAGTCTTCGGGCAAAAAGAACAAACAGAAACAGAGCAAAGATGATAATAAGGTCGGTGCCATAAATTAACCAATAAAAATGATGATAAATTAAACATCTAAATGAAATGCATCTAAGCAGGCTTCAAGTTTCATATAATATGTTCTTCCTTCCTCCTTCGCTTTATGCCCAAAACAAAGTAGATACAGGTTTTAAATTTTTGTTGGGGAACAAAATTGAAATAACAAAAATTTCTAAAAACTTGTTGGGTTAAAGGTAGGAGCAAAAAGCTGAAAACTTATTCAGGCCCCATTTTGCTCAATTGGCAGAGGAAAAAAGCTAAAAACGGGAAGAAAAAAAAAAGCCATGATACCTGAAGAGAGAGAGAGCTTGACCAGTTGAACTTGGAAGTTAGAATAGGGCAAGAGAGAGGGATCAGCGTGAAGAAGAAATATAAATTAAGAGAGTCAATGAGAGATAATCTTATTATAGATTTTTTAATCTTATTAAATATTTTTAATTTTTTTTAGATGCAAGCTGGAATTGAACACATAACTTGATACAACCTACTCAAATCCTTCATCAAATATATTTTAATATTAGCCTGGGCCAAATTAAAATTTTAATCCAAATCAAATTATAATTAATTATATATAATAAATAAAATTTGTTAAAATTTAGCCCGGGCCCAGGCACCCCCTAGCCTATACGTGGCTCCGCCACTGCCCGTTTCATAAATAATGTGTAAAAAAAAAGCCCCAAAAAATATTTATTTCAACTTGTATTCCCATATCGTCTGTATTAAATTAAGATTTAAAATTTCTAAAATTAATTTAGATAATTTTATCTAAAATATAAACAAAAAAGTATGTGAAATCCATATGAACTAATGTGAAGAAAAGAGGAAAAAAAAAGAACTTGGACTCTACACACCTTTATATGTGTATTTTGGTAAACATTAGATAAAAGTATCTAAAGTAAATTTAGAAACTTTATACCCATTAAATTAAGGGTTTAAAGTTTCTAAAGTTAATTTAGATAACTTTATCTAATGTTCGCCAAAAAACACACACAAAATTGTGTGGGGACCATGTGGACATATGTGAAGAGAAGAGAGAAAAATAAAATATGGACCCCACATACTTTTATGTGTGTATTATGGTGAACATTAGATAAAGTTATATAAAGTAACTTTAGAAATTTTAAACTCTTAAATTAAAGGGTAAACTTTATTTTCACCTATTGTGGTTTTATAATTTATCACTTGACCCGTACTTGTCTCTTAGACCCATTGTGCTTAAAAATTTAATATTTAATCCCATGTGATTTCAAAATTTTACTTACACACATTATGGTTGCAAAAATACATCACTTAAGATCCTTTATGGTCTTATAAATATAATACTTTTTCTAAAATTTATTTTATATAATTATGATATTATCAAATAAAATTAATCATTAAATATGAAAGTAAAAATATTTCAAGTTATTGATTTTGAAATTAATTTATAAATTATCTTAATTTTTTATTTATTTTAAAAATATATTTAAAAATCTTAAAAATTATTTAAGATAAATTAAATTTATATTATCAAAATAAGATATTTACTTTCTTTAGATAATTTTAGAACGATATCGGGTAAAAAATAGATAAAATAAAATAATATTTGATTTGAATTTATTTTCATGACAAAAATAAGTGAAATTTTTAAAATTTATTTTTCTTGATGCATTAGATGTGGATATAATATAAAATAAAAAATTATATGTATTAAATTATAAGGATATAATAGATACTATAATTAATTAAAATTAATTTAATTTTAAATAAATAATTTTATATTTTTGATACATAATTTGAATTTATAATATGATAATAATATAAGATAAAGGTGAGAAAAAAAAATTATGTATATATATGACCACAAGTCCACAAGGAGTCTCAGTGATATATTTTTATAATCACTATGAACATAAGTGAAAATTGGAAACCACATGGGTTAAAGGATAAATCTTTTTTTTTTTTATAGACAAAGGATAAATTATTTAAACATAATAGGTCTAAATGACAATTTTAAAATCATATGGGATCAAATGACAAATCATAAAATCACAATGGGTGAAAATAAAGTTTTCCCTTAATTAAATTAGATCATAAATTGTAATTTATGTGATGACCCTCTTTTTAAAAAATAAAATAAAATGGTAAATGATTTCTCAGGATTAATGCCCTCTATTTTTTATACTTGAAAAATAGATGCTAGTTATTCGATATTTTTTTGTTAAAATTAGTGTTATGAAACCTAACCCGACTCAGAACCCGGTGAACTGGTCATTGGACCCGTCCGAGTCAAGCATCAGACCAGTAATGCATTGGACTCGGTCAAAATCTGGCCAAAATCAGTCAAAACCAGTGACACGATCAGGTCATGCATTTTTATAAAAAAAAAATAACCAAAAACCAAAATTATTTCATCTTATCATTTTTGTAATTTCATTTGCTAGTAGTATACTCTTAAACAATAATATCAAATTTTACCAAAGCTGAAGCAATTTGCGGAACAATAAAATAAGAGTATATGACATACGTCATTTCAATATAGATGAATTTGAAAATATGAGTTTACAACATCTGTCATTTTAATTATCATTGAGAGATATGTTTATAGGGATTCTAAGTTGCAATTTAAATTAATATAGTAATAACGTGCATTTTTATTCACTTATGCTTTATGAACTTGTAAAAGTGTGATTGAGTAATTTTTGAGCTTATTTAATGAACTTTGTTTAATTTCTTTTAAATTTAAAAAATATAATTAACCACCTATTGATTCAACCAATAACCGAATAACTTAACCGGGTCAAAGCTGGCTCAAATTTAATAACCCTGCTTAAAAAATTGCTAAATCGAGGGAATACTCTTTTGGCTAATTGATTACATTGTTGGCTGTTCCCTTCTAAACTCGTGCACTTGTCATGTCAATTCTGCTCACACATCAGACGCATCAAGGTAGTCATGACACAAGCTATGATAATCATATATACCTCACGTTAACAAGCTAGAATAATTTGACATCTAATTAGTACTTATAATCATTTAAGATGGGGACAAGGAGTCCCTTGCCATTCCACTCCCTCCTTTTAAATCACTCACAAATACACATTTAACAAGTTTGGCCATTCCATTCCTTTCTAGTACTTTTTCCTTTGCGGAAATTTCTATTGTGCTACTGCTGCACCATTGATTGGGTGCGGCAATCCAATTAAAATCTCTTGTTTGCTGTGCTATGCTTACGGAGCAAAAATTAAAAAGTAAAAAGTAAAAAAATTCAGATGTAAATTTCTAAATGGCAGTTGTATGTGCTACCGACGTATGCAAGACTTGCTCCTCCTTTGCCATCCTTCCAAACATAGCCTAAGACTAATTATAAACCAAAAAGATCAGTTGACATTTAAAATTCAGGAATTTCTTTTTTTTTTTTGGTAAATTAAATTCAGGAATTTCTTCCGAAGTGCAACATTGACTGAACTGCATTTTATACTGAATACAAGCAGCAGTGCAGCACCCTAGCAACATGCCATGCTTTGTTGTGTTGGGTCTCTTCAACTTAAATAGTAGTTTTTCACATATAATTTTCACTAAATATTAGACTTGGAGCTGGAGGCACTTATTTTACTACTACGTAATAAATATGCTAGCTGATGAAATAAGTATAGTTCCATTAAGTAGATTAAATATTTCTTCCTTACTATTTGAGTGGTTTTATCTCTATAGGGATACACATTTTTTAGTTTTTTTTTAACTAATTATTAATTTTCAAATAAACTATAACTATAATAAAAATTAATTGGATGAGATAGAAAGTAAGATTTCTGAATCTTATATGAGAGTTAAAAGATCCTCAGTTCTTTTTATAAATTTTGAATATAATAAATATTGTAATTTTAATTTAAAACCTTTTACTTTTAGTTCTTTTAATAAATTCTTTTAGTACATTAGTTAATGAAAATTTCCTGTGGATCATGAAATGTTTAACAAGAAAGGGGAAAAAAACCTACTTGTCCCCACCCAGTTGGGGGGTGATGAATGGCCGAGATTGTTCCATCATGCATTAGTTCGTCCAGCTTTTGTATGTTGGGGACAACCATTGAACCATACATGTAGGACAGAGTTATCGACGATGGAGATCGCAGTTTGAGGAACGGCCTAGATTCGCTTTGGATGTAACGTACGCCTCTAAAGCACGGACACGGGATATTTGAGAAAAAATACGTGTTGAACATGTGTCCAACACAGACATATTCCGACACGCGGTCAACTTTTTAGGACACGTTGATTAATTGATTAAAGGGACACGCGATTTTAACCGAATCCAACACGTGGTCAACGTATTTAAACACGTTTTGAACATGTTTTGACATTTTTTTTATAAAAAATAAAATAAAAGAACAATTAAAAATATTTAATAAAATTTAAAAAGTAAACAAAAGTGAACCCTATCTTATCTTGTTGGACGCTGCCTCATCTCTTTTTCGTGGTCGTCGTCGGATCTCTGCTTCTCCTCCCTTCTTCCTACCCTAAACCACAAATTGCAAGCCTTTGGACTCTCCCTTATCTGAACTTTGTTTCTTTTCTTCCTGTGCCATTCAACTTTCTGAGCACCGAAACAATTAAGCAATTCAATGAACTTCCTAAAAGGGGAATAAAAATCCTGAGAAAGTACCTTATGGTTATGGTCATCCATGGGGGAAGGGAGAGAGAAATGGAGTGTTAATGTGTGGGATGATGGAATGGTGAAGATGATGATGATTAATGATTAATGATTTATTTATTTATTTAATTTTTAATTTTTAAACTATAAAAGGTTTAAAAAGAAAAGAAAAGAAAATTATTATCAATCATTCTCACTAAAAATTAAACTCCCTACACAAAACAACTATAATAAATCTATAATCCTCCTCGGAAAAACCGACTGGAAATCCAACACCACAGACACTCACTCCTATTAGTATCAAATCAAGAGCTAGCATAGCACCACAGACATGGCCCCTAAACTAAAAACGTTAAAGTTATTCCCCAGCGGTGAAGAGCAGGGTGAGAGTGATTCGGTTATGGGTGAGAGTCATACGGTTAGGCCCCCTTTACCAATGGATGATCTAATTCGAAGGCCCGTAAAGGGCGATTCAAATGCTGAGCATGCTGAGAGTGTTAAGGTTATCCCCCCTTCCCCAATGGATCCAATTCCAAAGCCCGTAAGCGGCGTTTCAAAGCTAACTGCTGAGGTCAAGGCCGAGGTCAATTCGGAGGGGCCGCATACTGTAAGCCTGAGGGTTGAAACAAGCTTTGAGCGCCAAGGCGGAGGCAGCGATCAATCGAAGCGTACGCTAGCTAGCAAGGAGGGTTCCTCCCAGACCAAGAGGTAACGAATGTATACTAGTCTCCTCTTCTATTCCGAATTCCAATCTAAGCAATAACCTCCATGAATTTCCCCCATTTCCTTAACTAACAACATTTTTTCTACCCTTAATTAATTGCAGAAAGAAGAGTGGAAAATAGGCTCAACAAAGGATGAAGCAATACGTACTACTAGTACAGTCAAGCTTAAATAATGTCTATACAAGGCATTTTAGTTAAGTGGCTCTTGTCTTACAGAGTACTAGTAAATGGCTACATTTATATCTGTACAAGCATCATGAGTTTGTGACCAATTTGTTGCTTTCTGGTTCTGTCTAATGCCTCTGCTGTATTCTAGTTTTGAGTTCAGTAGATTATTCATTATTGTCCGCAGATCTGAATACAATGGTTTCATTCCAGTTTCTCTCTCATTTTATTTTCTCTCAGTACTGAACTTCATGAGAATTTAACGCTCACAGCAATGAAACTTCTTGTGTTGTAGTTGTTGTTGTTGCTAGAAAGCATAGGTGTTGGTTTCAGTTGGGTTTCTTAATTCATAGGAAAAGCCAAAGCCAAAGCCAAAGCCAAAGCCGCTGTTCGTTTCAGCTGTGTCTCTTGATAGGGAGTCCGTAGCGGAGGAATAAAGTGTTAGAATTAATCCAAACTCATGTTCGCTATATATGGTAGTGATAAATGTAATCCCAAAGAGGATAGAACGAGACCCCATATCAAGATATTATTCCTGTCTTTTGTTTTTGATGCCTGTGGCTGTGATACTCTTATGTAATGATAAATAATTACCAACAAAGGACGAATATAATAACAAATGTTGTGCTTGGAAAAACTCTCAATTCACGAGGGAATTAAGATAGAGAACGTGTGACTCGACTTGATAATGGAGCGTAGAGGACCTGAGAGGGAAGAAGAGGACCTTCTGAAGTTGTGAAGAAAGCAAAGGAGGGAAACATTGAAGATGCATCCATGGATGAGAAAATGCTAGAGAAAGGTGCCACCAGTACCGAAAGCCTAAAGGTGTGTCGCCCAACTCAGGGAGACGTGTGGTGTCTTATAAGGATATAGTCCCCCAACTCAATGGAGAGGAAGATGAAAGAGAAAACGAAGAAGAAGACTGGGTGTCCAATCTGAGGAGAGAAGAGGAAGAAGAAGATTCCTTTGAAGAATGAGTTCATGCTCAACAAGCCAACCTTCTTTGTTTAGTTTATCACTTCTAAAAAAAAAAACAACACGTAGAGGATTGTAAGAAATGGAGATTAGCTTTAATCATCAAGTTTTTGGGAAGGAGAATAAGCAATAAATTTCTCATCCAAAGATTTATGAACATCTGGCGCCTTACAGGTGGGGTGGAGATAATTGATTTGGATAATGGACACATCCTAGATGATAACTTTCGTGAAGAAGAAAATATAATAGAGTAAATATTATTTTAGGTCCCTAACAAAAAATACAGTTCCCCATTTTAGTCTCTTATAAAAAAAAATAGTTTCGAGATCGCTAAGAAATTTAAAATGGACTCATTTTAGTTCTTTTGAAAGACTAATGTGGGTCTTTTATGAATTTGTGAGGACCACGATTCCTACTAAATGGGTCCATTTTGAATTTCTTAGAGACTTCGAGACTAGTTTTTTTTAAGGGACTAAAGTGGAAACTGAAAACCATATTTTTTGTTAAGGACCAAAAAAGGCATTTACTCAAAATATAATAATCATGTCTTGCATGAAGATCTGTGGATAGTAGTGGACCATTATGTGGTGGTGCAACGATGGAGGCCAATGTTTGACTCGTATGATGAAGAAGTTAAAAGATTAGCAATTTGGATTCTTCCGGGACTTTCACTGGAATTTTACACAATGCAACACCTCTTGAACATAGGCAACCTATTTGGAAAGACACTTAAGGTGGGTAAGAATTCTCTCCGGAAGTCTGATTGGGGAGAAGAAGAATACACCGAGAAAGTCAAATATACAAGGATTTGTGTATAGGTTGATTTAAGGAAAAATTTCATTTCTCTATTCCTGTCGATAAACAAGTTTCTTCTTGTTGCTTATGAATGATTGCACTTAATTTGTTTTGGGTGCGGGAGATATGGCCATAGACAATACTCCTACAGTGGAGGCTCTTACACAGAGATCTTCAACCTAGAAAGTAGATATCTGAGACGAACCCCAAAGGAAGCAATTCTTCCAAGGTAGACCAATCCAAAGCTTTTGGTTCATGGATGGTTGTCCGCAAATAGAATAGAGGTTGCAAATCCAAAGTGGTTTCCAATAATCAACCAGTAGGAGCTCTAAGGACTCTGGTGCACTAGCAAACCAGTGGCATTGGCCAAAGATCCAAGGGCTCTAGCGGGCCTTCCGAGGAGAACAATAGGTCTAGGTATACTATTCTGGCAAACCCAGAAGTGCAGGAGGTAGAGTGTGCACAAGATCAAGAAGTGCAGTAGGCGATTTCCTCTATTGAGAAGACTCTTTCGGCTACAATAAAAAAGTAGAGCATAAAGTAAGTGGAGATCGTGCTACCAAAATCATCTGCAGCTCAGGTTTTGATTATTGCTTCAAAGTTGATGCAGTGGGTTACGCTGGTGGCATGTGGGCGCTATAGAACAATGTCTCTCTTTCGGTGAATTTAATTGAGAAAGGTGAGCATTCCATCCATATGCAAGTTCTTATCCCTAATAATCAGTCTTTTCTTTTTTCAGCCATCTATGCTAGTCCGAGGTTTGAGAAAAGGAAATCACTTTGGGAGGATCTTAGGCGTTTGCATGTGTAGTCTGATAACCCTTGGTTACTTATTGGGGATTTCAGTGAGATTATTTTCGCGAATAAGAAAGAAAGAGGAACTCATATTGACTTAAACAGATGTTCCTCTTTAGCTCTGTCATAGATGACTGTCAGCTTCTCGATCGGGACTAGCTCCGGCCCTTGGTTCGTGTGGAAGGGTCCAAAGTTTGCTCACCTAGAGTGAGTATTCAAGCAGCTTGATAAGGTTGTTGCTAATGTCCAATGGCGAAGGTTGTTCGATGAAGTTGTGATTCACATGCTCCCCAGATTGTACTCTGATCATAACCCTCTCCATATCTCTCTGGTTAAAAAAAACAGAGCGAGAAAATACACCGTTTTGGATTTCCCTTCATGACTTGTACACCCTACCTTCAAACAGGTTCTGTCAGGGAACTGATTAACTGGTAAACACACTGTTATTAATCTTACTGAGTTGGTTCCCATCCTCAGGAATTGGAATGATAATACTTTCGGAGTCCTCCATGCGAAGGCTCTCTGGTATGTAAAGATGTCTGGAGTAGAGGCATAAATCCTTCCTTGAAATACTGGAAATTGAGTTAAGAGGTGAGCTGGAAAAGATTATGGACCTGGAAGAACAAATGTGGTTTCAGAAGGTCAGAACTTTTTGGATTGGTGATAGAGACCACAACACAAAGTTCTACCATATAACAACTATTACTATGAGAAGGAGAAACAAGATTCTTACTCTTAAAAATGATATGGGGATTTCGATTAGAAAGGAAGATGCCCTCAAGAGAATGGTTAATTCTTTTTACCATAATCTATTCGCTGAAGAGAATCAGGATAGGAGCTGGCAGATCACATCCGTGAATTGACCTTTCCTTGTGCCAGCTGAGATACAGTCTATGCGCAATCCTATTTCTATAGAGGAGATCATAAATGCCTTCTTCCAGATGGGCCCCCCACAAGGCCCCTGGACCAGATGGATTTCCAATTGCCTTTTACCAATGTAACTGGGACTTCCTATCTGATAAGGTGTGTACGTATATTAGATACTTCTTTGACATGCCAGAAGATATCCAAAAAATAAATGAAACATTTCTTATCCTCATTCCTAAAGTGGAGTCACCTGAGAGATTGGAGCAGTTTCGCCCCATTGCCTTTTGCAATGTTTTCTACGAGGTAATTTCCAAAATTATGGTTAACCATTTGAAGCCTTTTATGCACAAGCTCATCTCCTCTTTCCATGCAAGCTTTGTTCCAGGCAGGATTATTCATAACTTGATCTTTGCGCAAGAAATGACTCACTCTATGAACAGAATTACGAGTAAGAAGGCTTATATGTCCATCAAGATTGATCGTGCAAAGGCCCATGATCCCCTAAATTGGGGATTTCTCAGCAAAGTCCTCACTGAAGCAGGCATTCCCTCAAATCTGGTCAACATAATTGAAGCTTGCTTTTCTTTGTCTAAATTCCAAGTCCTTTGGAAGGGGAGTACTTCAGATCAATTTTCTCCTTCAAGGGGTATCCGGCAAGGTGATCCAATATCTCCATATTTTTTTGTTCTCTGCATGGACAAATTATCCCATTTAATTGCTAAAGCGGTGAGAAATAAGAAATGGATTCCTATGAAGGCTGGTCGAAAGGGTCTGCTTATCTCCCACCTTATGGTTGCTGATGATTTAATTTTATTTGGTGAAGTTAGTATTAGTCAATTAAATATGATGTTGGATTGCCTGAGATCCTTTGGTGATATGTCTGGGCAGTTAGAGAGCATAGAAAAGACGGTTATCTATTTTTCTAAAAACATTAGCTCATCCACTATTGATACTATCACTCAAGTTAGTGGCTTCAAGTGTTCTATTCCTTTGGTAAATATTTAGGAGCTATGTTATTCCACGAGAGAGGTAGAAAGATGAACTATTCTAGCATCCTTAATCGTGTTAAGTCCCGTCTCTCAAATTGGAAGAGGAACCTCCTCTCCTTCGCTAAGCGAGTGACCCTTGTTAAGTCAGTTATCAGTTCCATATCGGTCTACCATATGCAACATGGTTCTCTTCCTTTCTCGATTTGCAATCTTCCTTTCTCGATTTGCAAAGGAATTGAGAAACTTCAGTGATTCTTCATATGGGGAAACTCTACAGAGAAGAAGAAGGTGCACATCATATCTTAGGACAATATGTGCAAGTCTAGAAGAGCTGGGAATTCACAATTTGAAGTATAATAATGTAGTGTTCCTTCATAAGGTCGCATGGAGAACTTTAAACAATAAAGATGACCTCTGGGTCCAAGTTCTGACAGGTAAATATGGAAGGAATGTGGACCAAAGGAGAGTCCACAGGGCTATGCAACATGATTCCAATCTTTGGAAAGGTTTTGGGCAACTTTGTGATGACTTTCTTAGTAATCTCCAATGGGATGTCGGAAATGAGAGGGAGATTGCCTTTTGGCATGACAGATGGACCCATCTGCATAGGCCCATTACTAATTACATCATGTTTGTGCCTGATGGTTGGGATAATGATAGCAAGGTGGCCGATTTGGTGGATTGAAGAATAGGGAGGTGGAAGTTGGAAGCCCTACATCAGTTTTTGCCTCTGGAAGTTTTACACATTATCCAATGCCATCCTTCCCCCTGCTACTGAGAGGAATGATGATCGCCTGATTTGGAGAAATAGTGCGAGACAAAGGAATGTAGTCAGCCTGACTTATGGTAGATTCATGAATTTCGACTTTGTTGTCCTTGATCATTTTTGGAATTGGAGAGGCCCCCAAAGAATGTGCACTTTCTGTTGGATGGTATACCATTGGCGTTTATTAACAAATGACAGGTCTTCTAAATGGGGAGGATCTCTCTTCTACCATGCTTGTATCAACAAATTGGAGAATATTTCACATGTTCTTTATGACTGCACCAAGGCTGCTTCTACATTGAACTCATGGTTTTCGGGTAACATTCCTTCTGACTTCTTCTCCTTGTCGTTTAAAGTTTGGATTCGGGATAATTTTTATAGGAATTGTCGAATGGACAACTTCTAGATTGGAGAGACATTTTTATTTCTACTTGTTGGTTTCTTTGGAGATGGTGCAACAGTGAGGTTTATGATTCCAGTTTGTGAGACCGTCTAATCCTATTATTTTTATAGCGGCTTATATCAGGGACATTAGGACTAATATGATTTTCCTTAGCCAGGATCAGCTCCCAAGACCTGTTTCCCAAAGAGTTTTGTGGACAGCCCCTCCTCAAGGTTGGTTGAAACTCAATGTAGATGCTTCAGTGAAATCCAACCCCTTTTGTAACTGCTTGTGGTGGGCTCATCAGAGATGAATTTGGAAGCTGGGTTACATTGTAGCAGACTCAGGAAAAAAAAATTATGTCCGCACATTTAGTGGCAGGGGTTCGGGGGGCGCTGCCTCCGAAATTTTTTTTTGTAAAGAAAGTTTAAATCAATGCTTGAACCTGCTCATAATCTAGTTGCTTCCATAACAAGCTGCAGGCAA